CCGGCTGGATAAGAAGCAGCTTTGCAGAAAAGAGCCTGGCATTCTGCTGAGCAAAAAGTTGAGTGAAAGTCAGCAGTGCCCCCGTACTGCAGGGAAAGGAAACCACGTGGTGGGCTGCATTAGCAAGAGTGCAGCCAGCAGATGGAGTGAAGTAATTATTCATCTCAGTTTGGCACTCATGAGGCTGCAGCTGGAAAACTGTCTCCAGTCTTGGGTCTTGTAATACAAGAAAAATTGGTAAACTGAAGAAATCCCGACGGAGAGTAACTGAGATGGCCGGGAGAGCTGGAGCGCACGATGGACGAGGAAAGGCTGAGGGCACTGGGTTTGTTCAGTTTGGAGAAGGGACTGCTGGGGAGTTGAGGAAGCTAATGGCAGTCTTTAGCTATTTTATGGTGGGTTACAGAGAAGATGGCGTCAGATCCTTTGCAGAGGTGCGCTGTGGAAGGACAGGGGCAGCAGTCACAGTCAGGGAAATTGTAACTGGGTAAAAGAAAAAGGTTTTACAGTAGGAGCAGTAAAGCGTTGGAACACGTTGCCCAGCGAGGTTGTAGAGCCCCGTTTCTTGAGATGAGGAAAAACTCACCTGGATAAGACCCTGAGCTAATTTTGCAATTAGCCCTGCTTTGAACAGAAGTTTGGACTGCAGACCTCCAGAAGTCCCTCCCAATCTAAATTGTTCTGTGGCTCTTATAAATCTGTAGATCTGCAAAGCTGCTAAGTTCCTTTTTGTTCTTATGTTCAGGATTTTTTTTTTATTATTATTTCTAAAGGCCCCTACATTTTGACAAACAAACTGTGGAGGACTCTGAATCAAGCTACTGCAGAAAAATACTGCGGAGAGCTGTCGAAGCGGAATTGCAGATTCTAAACATTCATTATCAGATGTGTTGCCATCATTGCTTGAAGATTTACAAACTGTTTATGGAGGAAGAAAAATATTTTAACAGGTATGTACTTTAATGTCCTTTTAAATGAAATTAATAACTTGGTTAAAAGACGTTAATTGTTAAATATTACTGTTCTACCATGTGCATAGCTCGTCATAATGAGTATGGTTAGGATTGTTATCCGGAGAGTCCGCGTTCACATAGCTGTCGCGTCTTATTTTTAGCCTAAAATTTTCTGTGTCGTGTAACTGCTTTAAGAAAGGCATGCACAGGCCCAACAAAAATAGTTCTGTTTCCAGGAGTGTCTTTCTGTACAGGAGGAAAAGCACGAAAGGAATAGTACAGCGAAGCCATGTAGGAATGGCGTAGATGTATAGAGATGGAGAATCGGGGAGGAGGTAAGGGAGAGAGACAAAAGCAGTGCAGAGCTGGTAAGAAGAGAGGTGGGAAGGGAATAGCGATTGAGGAGTCTCTAACTGCTAAAGTGTACGCCATGTAACGACCTGGAGTTCAACTAAGATTTCCTGAGGCTGAATGCTTACTGTGCTACTGACGGCTGAAAGCTGCCACCGGCTTTTGTGCTGTATCTTTCTCCATCGTTGCCCTGTGCCTTAGAGTATCGCTTGGAGAATTGCAAGCAGAAAAATTCTGGCAGATAGTTGCTAATTGTGTTTCTCTCTTTGTGGCTACCTCTTTTGAGAAGCAACTAGCATTGTTTCAAGCAGTGTTTTAGAGATAACTGAAACGCATATAGTAATGCAGAAAATCAGTATCTTAGTGTCTGCTCCATAGCAAATGTTTAGGAAAGTGTTTAAGAAGGCATGTAGTGAGACCATGAAAACGGAGTGTGGCTCCAAAGAATGAATGTGCAGGTTAGGAATGAGCTAATGTTCTTGGGAAAAAAAAAAAAAATCTTCAAATTTTGCAGATTTGGAAAGTGTTCTGCCTATTGTATCTGAGCAAATTGTAGTGTTTACTGTGTCCTAGGGAGGCGGGGAAAAGTAGTTCAAGCTTCTTCCAGATGCTGGAAGGATCAGGCTCTTACGCAGTCATTTATAACTCCTTAATGAACTTCTCCATGGCGCAGTCCACAGAATTTTAGAAATAAGAACTTCAGATGTTGTCGTCTTTTTTGACCTATATTTGTCAATATGTCAATAGGGATATTGATACCCATTAAAAAAAAATCTTGAAGCACTGCAAAATGTTTGGATGATTCTGGAAGCGGTAAAGTAAATGAAATGTCTCACAAAGTTGATCTCTCTTTCCTATACATATTTTAACAGATGTAATAAAAATGGTTTTGCTAAGACTGAATTGAACTCATCTCTCCTGTCCGTTTTGGAAGAGCTAAAAAAGAGCTATGAGAGTCTGAAAAAGAAAATAGAAATGGGCATACCATTAAATGCACTTCCCCCTCTATCGGTTGAGACAAAGTTGTTCCCAGTCTTTTCTTCTTATGTCCCATGCAAGGTAATTTTTAAATTACTTTTTGTTTTAAATGTAAATTATTTTCTTCAGAAAAGTAACGCAAATATTTGCTTTTTTTGACAGGTATACAGGGAGAATCTTTGCTCTGCGTAAGTAGTCCTGGTGGATGTTATATATCAATAGTAAATGAGAAGTGAGTTTAAAAGATGTTAAATTTGAGAGTTTTTTTTTTTATTTCAGACTGTATCTTGTTGCTCCAAACTGTTCAGCTGAAAGACTAGCAGGGCAGGGTATTTTGGGCACGGTGATTTTACTTTTAAGAAAAGTTGTACTCTGTAGCATTCTGGTATGTGAACTATGGAGTTACATGTTTATTGTCCTTAAAGCAAATGTTTCCAATTAGCAGCTTGTTTTCCCCCTCCGTTACTTTCAGTCCTAAAACCTTTTTCTCACTTCTAATCTATGCTGTCATTTTTTTTTTTTTAAAAGAGCCTTTTTTTTAAAAAAAAAAAAAAAAAGTGGGCACGCATACAGAAAAGATTTTATCTGCAAAGATATTAAGCATATAAGCAGCAATATCGCCAGGATTATCTTTCAGCTGTGAGGAATGATAGGAAAGTAAGTTAATACTTCAAGCAGGCGTATGGTACTGCGTATGCTCAAGAATCATGGCCAATTTCTTTATGTAAATATTGCTTACTTTTTTAAAATCACTAAGTTAGTACTGCAAACAGCTGTAGGTCTCATTTGAATGTCCTGTTAAGTATTTTTAGAAGAAATCAAAAACTGCATAGAGAATTCAAGTTGTGAAAAGATACCTTGAAACATCACGCAGAAAGCGATCTAAACATAAAGGAAAAACAATTTAATGTAAACATAGAACATCATTTTAAGTTTCAGGTTGCAAACCATGCTATTGCAAAATACAATATAAAAAGAAAGTTCTCCTTTTAAGCTAAGATTTATTAAACACATACAGTGTATTTTACTGTGGGCTTTTCCCGTTATTCTGTAACTAGATCCATTTAAAACAATACTGCAGGGTACTCAGTATCACTGTAGAATTAAAAATGACTTTGCCATGTTTTATGTTAAATTCTTGGATCTTTGTTAGTTCCCCTTTAGGTGCCAGAAAAACAGACCTTGAAGAACCAAAACTACAAGAAATGAAAATTTCTGTCGATGTGGTAGGGACTTCTTCATTATTGAGTTTCATAGACATTGACTTTGTTAAGAATGGTCTACTTTTAGATCGGTATATGCAGGTACAATCGCACTCTTCGTAATTCAAGCTAGAATTGTCTGTCAGTAGTAGTAAATGCATCTGATATGACCCGAATTTTAATCAGCCTTTTAAAATAAAATAACTGAGAGTTCTTGAGCAAGATGTGTAGGTTAACTGTTAAAAATTTACCTGTTTAATGAATTAATATTCTGAAACTCAGAAAAATGACACGTAAGTGCAAGTGCTGTAACATAACTGAAACATGTTTGTAGGACAGTCCTCAGACAGCGTGTTTAACTGATGGCAGTCAGCCTGGACACCGTACTTCGTCCAAGACGTTTGAAGACCAACGTAAAGATCAGGATGTGGAATACAGTAAGCTGGCTGCCCCTAATCCAAATGCTATGCCATATGTTAGCTAAGGTGTTGAAAAAAGAGCTGTGAGTAAAACTTATATACGATGCTCTAGTGTCTTTTCTCTGATGGAACGCTTAATGTTATATTAACTGTATATTACAGTTAATGGGAAAAATTTCACGTGACTTAAGTCAGAAATGCGAACTAGTATGCGTCACCTTTTCGTCATGTAGTTGCAGACTACGTAGATAGATGGAATCCTCTTAAATACACAGAGCAGAAATTCAGTACTCGTTCATATCGGATACCGTGGTTTGAATTTTAACACACTGAAATTTATTTTAACTGCCAAGACTGCAGAAAAAATGAAGTGAATGAACGTTGGTTTGATGCTAAAGAGAACTTGTCAGCAACAGATTTTTCAGTAACATTTGATGAAAAGCAGCAAGAAAAACAAGGCGCAGATGGTTCAAGAGGTGAGTGAAATGCTCTAAGCTGGCATACCTCATGATGGTATTTATACTTACTGTTGGAGTGTTCTGTGTTCCTTCTAAAACAGAGGTATACCTGGGAGAAATGCTAGCTGGGCTTTTAGACTTTGCTTTTCATTTACTTGCATTGAATACCAGTACAGGGAATAAAATCTTTCCATGCACGTTTTTCCTTGAAAACTTTACCTAGATGGGTTAATTAACCATCTAGGTAATTGAATTTTGTACAGGTACTGCCAGTCGTGCAGCTAGAGATCTTTTTTCTGTGTTCCTCTTCTTTCTGCTTCTTCTGACTTCTAGGAGTTAGTTGGGAATGGTCCATGTTCTGAGGTCCAGGTCCCTGTGATGGACATGGTTAAAGGTCCAAGTACCTTGAAATCCGGGAGCTCGCGTGCTCCGTGATGGGGATTCTCTGTACCTTAATCATGCTTCAGAGCTGGCACCCGTTAGTTCAGACCGCTGTCTTCTCTGATTGCAGTTAGAATACTGACCTCTTCTATAGCATGTGGAAGAAGTGTTTGTAATTCTCCTTTCCTTCTGAGATTCCTAAATACATTGTTTTCTAGACACTGTTTTGCAGGAACTGTATTTAAAGACGCTTTCCGGCAAGTTATAGGAAACTGGCTGAAAGACCCACACCGGAAAGAACACTAAAAGGAGCAGTTGATTCTGTGTCAGACATCAGGAGATGCACATGGGAAAGAGATTTTTAGAAACTGAACAGTTCCACTTCTCATGCCACTACTTTATTTTCTGTTAAAAATACTGTTCGTTCATTTAGTTTTTTTAGAGGTTTTCTACTTACACGTTTTCCAAAATGTACAGAGAAGATGTTAGCTTGAACTGAAACAGGAGTAGTCAGTAACACTTTGTTTTCTTATGTTTATTTGCAGAAGTGAAGATAATTGACAGTGCAAATGAGTATTTTTTTGTTCATGTTGGAGGCTTAAGTTCTTCTGTGTCAGAGGTGCGCCTGTTCTTACTCACGTTGTGGTCACAATGTGTGTTTATCGTGTGAATTATCTTATGCTATGTTTCATGACCAAACTATGCTTATATGTTTTAGGATGATTTAAGATCGCATTTCCAGAAGTATCAGGTTTCTCGCGTTCTTATCTGTGCAGATTCTGCTAGCTACAGGTATATTAATAGATGTTTTATTTCTTTCAGATTTTTTTGCTGTCAAAATAAGTGACTCTTGGCAGAGAGGAAGGAGTTGTGCATTAATTTGTTTTTATTTTGCTTCAGTAAGTCATGTAGATAACAGGTTATATGACAAAAATTTGTAATTCCAGACAGCTGGTATGTTAGGCAGTCTGAAACGTTCCGTTGAAGTTGAATTGAAATAAACCAGTTGATATTCAAAAGATGAGAACCATGATGTGTTTCTGTCAATAGTATCAGCACTCTTACCAACATTATATAGTAATTCAATATCTTTTACCTAAAGTTTCTTTTTTTTTCTTGATTTTTAAATCTTAGATACGCATTTCTTTGCTTTAAAGAAGCTAATAAAGCAAAGTTAGCTGTAGAAGAAATGAACAGGAAAGAAATAAAAGGAAAGACTGTAAGTCTTGAACTTGTAAAAAATGCATCAGAGAACAGATCTTCAGTCTCTCAGAACCTTTTGAATAAGTCTTGGTATGAAATCCAATCTATTAATAAGTGTCAAAAAGACGTTCAAGATAAAACATTCACTTTGGCTTCCAATTCTGTGAAAGCGTCTGCTGCCACCTCTGCTTCTGAGAAGGTGCTTCTCCTTCCCGCGACTCCCTCAGAAGTTACTCGTGCTACTCAAGTCCCCTCAAAAGCGAACTGCCTTGGTCTGAAACCCTGTACTGAAGGCTCAGAACATTCTTTGGTTGAAATTAATCAACAGGTAAATGATTATTACTAAGGCTCCTTTATGTAGCAGATTAAGAGCCTTAAGACTTGAAGTAACTTCTTGTTCCATGAGATGTTATATTTAATATATATTGGAATTAGGTTAGGTTAGGAAAGCATGGTAGGGGTCAGCAATAAATTTCTGGCATGCTGCAGAAGAGGGAGAGCGCCGTTCTTTTGCTCCTGCGTCAAGTTGTGATGTTCTCTGTTTTTCTTATTTGTAAGCCAGTCCGGAACCTAGGTGTTTATACTGGATTTTTCTTCTTGCTTTTTTTTTTTTTCCCCGATTTCACTTGTAAGACTTGTTTCTATGTGAATGTTTTGTGATTATACAGGAAAGATACTGAGATGTTGAAGAAACTCTTGTTTTAAATACAGATCTTAAAAAAAGTATCCTTTGTGTATATATATGGTATTGTACTCACTTAGGTTTGTTCTTGGTAGGTAAGGCAAAGTTAAAAATTGCTGTTGTTGCTCTAATGAGCTAAATGGATATGCTGCTTTTTCGTTTTAACTGTAAAGTTCTAGTTCTCTAGGAAATAGAGTTTAGATCTAATGTGGCAGGGATGACAATATTAATACATCTTCTGTGCAGTAGGTGTATTCTGTCTTGAATTAATCTGTCAGTTATGCATAAATACTTGTAGTTGTTCTGATTTACAGATCTGAAAATACAGCTGGCCTTACCACAACCACTTATTATTGATCTGGATCCGTATTTATGTCTGTCACTTTTCTTTTTTCATAGCGGGAAGATTTATAAGTAGTAAGGGTATGCAGTGTTATCTGCACAATATTTAACCCATTCACTTTTTGATTATTCTAATGCATTTCTAGGATACTGGAGAGAATTCTCTGCAGAAAACACCTGCTCTTTTCTCCCCTAATCCATTTGATACCTTTATTCCTCCTAATACACTGAACTTGAGCAGCTTTACCAAATTAATGAAGAAACTTCAAGAAATGCATCCAGAGGCTAGTAGGTAAGAATATTCAGGTTTTATTTCTTCCCTGATTTGTAGTGGAGCCACTATTCATGGTGGCTGAGTTGAGCTAAATGTATTGCAGAAGATGTGACGTAACAGTTATTTCTGTTATTCACGTAGGGAGAAAATTGTAGATGCTCTGCTGGAGGTGAGAACAAACAATAAGGGTATCCTGAGTGGCTTGTCCATAAATTCTATTGTGAAAAGGACCTCTCTAATTCTAAGGAAATCCATGCCCAAGAGTGGGGGGAAAAAGGAATGTAAATAAGTGAGTATTCTAGCCTTCTATGTTGACTATGTTGATGTGAAAACACATTGATTTGTTTACCTGTATAGCCTGGCTAAATTAGGAAGAAACGTCGTATGGAGCTCTGCATGTGCAGGAGTAACCGAATTAATCTCCTGAAGGCTTTCTAAGATTTGTTAACAGTTTTGCAGAACAATCTCTAAACAGATTAGATTGCTAGCTCTGTCTAGTATAAAATGCATTTAATAAAACTGGGTATACTGAGGCTTTTATTATGCAAACTCTTTTATGATTAGTGGTGGAGAACTGTTTTAACAGCACTGGAATTACAGACTACATAAATATTCTGGACAAAAGTGACATCTAAAGGCCAGTTTTTGTCATAGCATTTCATAAAGAAATCCCGGAAGAGGCTCCGTTTTGATTTAAAAAAAAAAGAAAACAAAAAAACCCAAGGATTTGTGTGTGATATATGGGATTGTCAATTCCAGACTAGAAATGTAATAAAGTAAAGTTGTATGTCTTTTAGGGTTTTTTTGGTTTTTTTTCCAAATTAAAGGACTTGGTAGATACTTCTTTTCCTTTCTCCTGCTGGGTTGCTTTGAAATCTTGCACTGTGACACAGCAGTGGCTGTTGCAGGAAGCGGCAACAAGCCAAACATGCTAGAGAAGAGACAAGTGCATTCCATGCTCCGTTACCTTGATCCTGAAAATAATAGATTGCAACTGAAAGTGTGGCTACACAAGGTAGGCTGGGCTGACACACTGGTTGGCCTCTTCTGGAAGGAGAGGTCCTGCTTCTTCTGCCAGAAGACGACTCTAGCCAACATGAGTAGCTCTCTGCCAGAGTAGCAAACCAGATTGGGTTGTTGAAGGGTTGGATGATCACTAGAACTAGAGAGCAAGCATGGCGGTGGGATTGCATAGCTGGCAGCAGCAGACAGAAGAAGAGCCTAAGCATAGTAGGCCTGTGGGGCTCAGGGAGGGTTTATTTTTTTTGTTTTCCTTTAAGTTAATCTTTTGTCAGCTTAACAAGTTATTTCAGTGAGAAGTCAGGCGAGCACCAGTACCAGTATGGGAAGAGGAGGGATTGCACGGCTGGTGCCGGGGGAGGAATAAGTAGGAATGAGCTGTTAGATCCGTCAGCCAGCTCATTTAGAGCCATCTTTAGCAATGGGAAATTGCAAAAAGGAAGTTTGAGTAGAAGTGAACAGGGGACATCTCCCTGGGGAAAACTGTACAGTTGGGAAGATACTGGGTGAGACAAGTCCATCTTTTTTTTTTAAAAACAAAAAAAAAACCAAAACAAAACAAAACCCAGCCCAGAATTCTGGAGAGATACATAGTCTCCTGAAGAAAAAGTCCTTGATTTGGCGCTTGTTCCAGTCTTCCCCTAAGCTTCATGTTCTGCTTGCTTTAGGGCTGCTGGCAGTGGCACTGCCAGGGTTCCTGTGCTGTTTGTGCGTTCTTAGAAATGCGTCACCTTCACTCGGGCCACCAAACACTGCACTCTGTGAAACCACACACTCTCTGTTATTCTGTAGTGTTTGTTTCCCAAAGCGCACCAAATTCTTCATGCTCTGATTTTGGTTTCAACAATATAAGGAGTCAGTTTGGATGTGTGGAATACTAGGAAGAGGAGATACTGATTTAATTACAAGACCAGTAGTATTTATGGTGATAGCTGGACAACTGTAAGGACCTTTACCACCCTTTGCATGTTGTTTATCAGACTTAATTCTCCAGGCTAGGTATTTATGGACATGTGACAGTAGCATATAAGTAGACCACAGCAAAACCTTAACTTGAGCAGAACTTTTGTGCATTAAATACTAGAACTGTAATAGAAATCGATCCTGCCCAACCAGGTGAAATAGAAGCCTGGAGTAGAAACGATTCCACAGATGCATTAACAGTACAAATACATGCTTATAGGCTATTCTTGGTCATTAATTCACCCCAGGCCTTATTCTAGGAAGGACTATCAGTGATCAGAGAAGTCCTTCAGAAAGACTGAATGTAGAGTAAGTGCTGAATACAGAAACATTGGATAGGATTTTAAATCCAGCATGAGATTATACCTGCTGTAGTGATGGTGAGGGTGAAAGACTCCCAACCAATATGCATGCTTGGCTGAGTTCCTTTTGCAGTGACTAATGTAATGCACGTTTGTTGGTTTGGCACTTGACTACCTTGTAAGCTTTTGCTGATGCTCCGTACGAATCAAAACAATGTTTAAAAAAAAAGTCTTAATAGTGATCTGCTGATTTACTTCTACAGGATTGCAAATACGGATGTAAACTCATCAAAAAAACTTATGTTATACTTCACAGTATTTTCCATTAGTAAGATTTTAATAGCTTTCGCGTGTGTTGCTCTTGTCAAATGGTTTTAAAATAGCATGAGTGCTTTGCAGTCAGAATTACTTCGACAGTAGTGTTTTTTGGTCTATGGCTTTGCTAAGGAGAGATCATTTAGAACAATTTTTACTTGCATAATGAGGGAGCTGTGAAATAGCCAAGTCATTAGTGAGTAATGGAAGAACTGTAAGCGTGTAAGTCAAATGTTTAAGAAAAAATGATTCTGGTCAAAGTTCTTTTATAGAAATTCTGGTTTGTGTATAGCTTCAGACTTCCTTGAAAGGTAAACACTTGGAAACCTTATGTTCTTGCAAAGTGGTGAAACATGGAACACAGTTTTATAGATACTACTTTTATGTCAAGCTGTGTTACGCAGCATTTTATGCATAACAAATTCAGCTTCAAAGCATCCTACTGACTCACTTTTTTCCCCCTGCCCCGCTTTGGCTGAATTAGCCCAGAGGTTGATGTATAAATGTTTATAGACCTTGCATATTTGTTAATTTTGAAGCCATAAGTTCATTAGAACAGGTGAGAGGTTGTTAAACCTAATGGCAGTCAACAGTTAACAAGAAATGCGATGATATGACAGCTATTCAGAGTGGTATTAAAAATGGCCGTTTCCCTTACAGTGCCAGTGTCTGCAGTTGGTAGTTTTCCATGAAATTAATAGTAAAGATCTAAAAACAGACATTTTCTGCTTATTGAGATTTGTCCCATCAAATCATGATTAAAATGCATTACTTGAGCAACATAAAGAAATGCATGGAATCTGTACAGTGTCTTTTGGCAAGTATGTTTTATTTTAAGGGTATCTATCTGGCACTCCTGAGTGATACCGAAATTCTGTCCAGCCCAAATGCACACACTGGTAGTATTCACTGCTTTCAAGTCTGGATTTTAGAAAACTGGTAGCGAAACTCGGTTTGTTTTTTATACTGTAAACTGGTTTCTAGGAATGGATTTCTAAAATGTAAAGTTTACATCTTCCTTTTTTTTCTTTTTTTTTTTTAAACCAGTGTCGACCAGATTTGTTACACAGAGATTATATATTTTATTTTCTTTTTAATCACTTCTTTCACATGGTTCTTGAAGCTAGGAAACTTCTGCATGCAGACTTCCTCCAAACTCTGTAGCAAAATTATCATAGCTTTTACTGATTTTTCTAGCACGCTAAATTTGCTGGTGTTCCTTTTATCTCAGTTCAGGTGTATTCATGCTAAATTTACCTGCTTCCTCTGTTTGTTTGTTTTTAAGGTGATTCTCTGACAAGGAGGAATTGATCATCTCGCTTGGAAGATTTTGCAAACTCTATACTCCAGCTTGTTCCAGGATCATATTGTGTTTCTTACTGGTTTTACTGCAGCGGATCTTAATGAAAATTCACGTAGCATCATCGCATGATTTGTGGTCTTACGCGAGACAAAATAACCTGAAGATCGCTTGGGGGTGTCTTTTTGTGTATGAAGATCTTAAGTGGTTCTTCCCAGTTTTCCTGTTCTCCACAGTTGGCTCAAGCATTCAACAACAGGTTTCTCTAAGTGATATAATTAAAGGAGAATGTTTCAGTGAAACAGGACTTCTCCAATACTGGAAGGACGTTTCTATGCTTAGTGATCACTGAAGTAGACAACCCCCTTAATTCTTATACACCTCTTAATTTTAGGCATTTTAGGTAGCTGGTAAGTTGGTTCAAAGTACTACATGTTTAATAAATTGCCAACGTGTTTAAGTTCTTTCCAGATCATCTCATTCTGAATAGTTTGTAGAAATCTCACGTATCCTTTTAACACAAGGCAGGGAAGGGACGACGTCAGAGGAAGCTTTGTTTTACAAAACCAGGCCTCAGTGTTTCCCATACTCATGGACTTTGTTACGTAAACTGCAGTGTTACAACAGCAGCAATTATTCAGGAGCAGAGTGATCTTGAGTCCATTTTCATTTGGCAGTTCTGTAACGTGCTTCTGAGTCTGATGGCCAAATACTTCCTTCAGGATGATGTTCCACCCTAGACTTCTTTTCAGAATATGGAATTTTTTTTTTTTTGGTCTTATAAATCCACTTCCATGGCTGTAAACAGAGGATGGGTGCCTAAATCCTTCCGTTGTGCCACATAGCCTGGTATAGTGGGACATCCCCCAGAGGAAACTTGGTTTGCATTGCATAAGTTGACACAAGGGGAGGGGGAAGGATGGGGGGGATGCAAGCGTATTCTTTTGTGTGTGTGGTTAGTGTACAGAAGGGGTATAGCTTTTAAATCCTCTTCTAGCAGATGAAGAAAAGGCAGCTTGGGTGTATGTGTCTGGTAAGGGGGTGAGGAGAACTATCTTTGCTGCTGCCAGGCACATGTTACCGTATCGCATGGCGAGGCAGTACGTTGTGGCTGTCCAAATCTCTCTCTTTGTTATACTTTGTTCTCGATCCAGGCTGCATTTGCTGCTGAAGAGAGTCTGTCTTGCCTGTGAATAAAGGTTAAAATTTCTTCTTCAAAAAGTTGTGCTTATGTTTTGCTGTTTTCACATTTCATCTCTTCCCTCTCCTCGTAGCAGAACTATTGCAGACAACGTGCTCAAAGCCTAGCACTGTGTTTCGCAGCTGATGTTTTTAAGTTGGATCCTGAAGCTGCAGTTGAGGCCTCGGGTCTGTTTTCTTCCCCGTTCACATCAAGATTAAAACAGCTCTAGGCTTTGCTCTGCCCTGTTATTTGGCCAGCCAATGCTGCCCTTTCCCTTCCCCAGACTTGATTCTGTAATTAAACAGGAGTTATTAGTGCTGTAGGTAAAGCTGACTTTGTGGCTTTGTTCCTGTTGGGAAGGCAGACGCATGCCTAATGTTGAAACGCTGAAACGAGGCCTGGCACGCTGCAGCGGTTGCTTGTTCATGCAGCCTTTTCAAAGGGAGAGCTAACTCAAACGGTGAGAGAAGGCGTTTGTGGGGTGGCGAGGAGCACCTCCTGCTCTGCCTGACCTCTGTACAGCTGGAGACCTCGTTCGTCTGGATGTGTGTGCTCTTAAATTTCTGAAGAGCCCAAGCAAGGCACCTTTCCACATTCGGGCTGGGCAAGAGTTCAGTCGATGAGCTGCAGGTGGAGCTCTACTTGCTCAACAATGCTTTTGCACTCCAAGTAATACATACATATGTGGCGGGTGGGTGCCTGTGTGTACGTATACATGTATGTATATTCTTTCTGAAGTTGCATGACCACAAGAAGGTAATGTCCAAGAGTCTGTAAACAAAGAAAGGGAAGGCATGCTTCTTCTCCTTAGGCTAGAGGGAGCACCTTAGCAAAAAATGGAAGGAGGGCAAAGGAAAACGTGTGGGGAAGAAAGGATTTCCTTGGGTTTTCCTTTGAGAAATTTTCCGTTCCCTTGCCCCGCTCCCCGTCTCTGGACACCTACCTGCCTGCTCCGAGAAGATGGAGTTAACTCCAGCTCAGCTGGGCGTGACAAATCTCAGCTGAAGTCATCACAAAGAGTGGTTGGCTCCCCCCCCCGGCCAA